ATGATCATGTCTGAATGTGATGTCTGATTAATTCAGAAGTGTCCTATACTTCTCAGCTTTTCGTACAGAGAATACATTTTTGTATACTCTCTGGGCAAATATTCATTCCCTTTTCAGAAATTAATCTGTTGCTTTTAAATTATCTTGTCCAGTTACAGAAGAGGGTTTTCTGTGTTTTTGAAAAAGGAAATATGTGAATCCAACATACATTTGGCTGTCTGTTGATTAACTTCACAAATATCACAACAACTTAATTTATTATGCCATTCAAGCCAGACTCCAGGTTCTTAGGAAGCCAGCCTCTCAGAAATAGCACTTATTAATGGAATTTAAGAATCTGTTTCAGCTGGCAACACACGGCCTGGATGGTGACTTTTCTTTTGCTGTGACATACATCACCAGCTTTGCTGTAGTTTTCAAAAGCTATTCTACAAAATCAAAGCTAAGACAATAAATACATCAGGAAGCAGTTAAACCCCAGCTCCATTCCTTGTAAACATTTGAAAGCAAAATTGCTAAGCAACTGATTTTATATGTTCTGAATTGCATCTCTTACTTGCAAAATAGGCACAAAAGCCACTTACCTTCTGCAGTTCATATAGATTTCTCAAGTACAAACAGGCAGAATGCATGGTCTGTGAACCCCAGATATTCCAAGAAGAGTTAGTTTCTGGTGACTAACTTTCCAAGTACAAGAAGAACGAGCAGGGGACTTTAATAAAAAGCCTTTCAGTCGTCAACTTTTTTTTTAAGAACTCATTTAATTTATCTCATTTTACTGAGATGGGAAAGTTGAATTTCAGCCTTCCACGTGAACTGCAGATTAAGCTTGAAGTTGTTGGCTGTTCATACATCTGCACTAACTTCTATAATGTGTTCTGTGTGCATATTTAAAAATACCACCACCCCACCCTATCAATAGACAGTATTTTTTGCTATAGGTCAGACATCTTTCCTAGACAAATGACTGCAATTTTGAAGGGGGATGGGTGGAACCTCTCATTGATAGGTGCTATAATCTGCAAATAGTTTTCATGTCGGCGGGGCAACTGTGATTCATGCTGTCAGACAAGTGAAAAGAAAACCGCAGTCAGCAGCTATTCAGCAGCAAATCATTAATTAATTACATTTTAATGAACCTTAAGCAGCTACTGCAGGAGTCTTCAGAAGTTTATAAAAAAATGAAGAATTGCTTTGTGTAACTCCTACACTGAGTGGGGGGGGGGACTGAAAGAACCGGAGGGTACAAGCAACTTTTGTGTAATTTCCCCATGTTCACTTAAAACTTTATAGCTTCAGCTATAGTAGTTTCACTCCAAAACACATAAAAGATTCCAACTTTTGACACCTATTCAAATTCTTCTTAGAAAGAATGGCTTCTTCAGGCATTCTTTTTAAAAGAATTCTAATGAGAAGTATTTTACTTAATTAATGGGGGAAAGTTACAGAGATACTCTTTCATTAAATCTTAAGAGAGCAGGCAGATTATTTCAGTACGGAGACTACATAAAGAATGTAGTCAAAAATATACTGTGAAAATTTGGCATATTTATTTTGTTAATCTGTTACAATTTATTGCTGTTTTGGAGTGAAAAGCATGGAAAAATAGGCACAAAGATTCTGGTTGTTCTACTGACAGTAAACAGAACATTTTCATACAGCAAAGTCTATGGCCTAGGTTCTTAACGTGGGCGATAATGCCCCCCAGGGGGCGATTTCTTTTTTCAGGGGGGCGGTAGAACGAAAAGGGGCGGCGTGGGGGCGCTGGAGCAGAAGGGGGTGGTAGGGGGCACTGGAGCAAGCCAAACCTGTGAAGATGGCTGCAGCCTTTTTAGAATGTGCATGAATATATATTTTCCTCCAATTTTAATTTAGTTTCAGACTTTTTGTCTTGAAATTTTTAGTTCCTGCATTTGTTTTTATGCCCTTTTTATATTTCTTTTTGCGTCTT